ATTTGCAGTAAAACTGAACAATATTTGTTATATGTCAAATTTTAATGATCTTTTTTGTTGATTCTTTTCTGTCGTAAATTGTATTTAGTGCAATTTTAATTTATTTTCCAACTTTTACAGTTAAAAATGACAAACTTTTGGTGTTAAAAAAACATCACTTCAAACACATATTTTTTCCACACTGACCTCAGAAGGAAGAGAAGTTTTGAGAAGTGTCTTTAAGGTCAGGAGCTGTGAGCGATCTGTGACGGTCTTATGAGGGATTTCCAGAGGAGCGGGGCAGTTATTGAGGAGGACCCGTCACCTCTGGGTCGGAGCTGGCTCCAGTTTTTTAATTAAACATTTGTTTGTTCTTTCCACCAGTCGCTGGCTCTTCCTGAACTCCCTACAGTCGTGGTCTTCAAGGATGGAGGCCACTTCACCTACGATGGTGAGTGAACTTTTCCTTCCGTCATCCTCCGTGGTCAAACGCTGGTTCCTGTCAGTAATTTTGGCATGAAAGAGAGCTTTTTTTGGGGCTTAGGTTTTCCATTGTTTCTTCTGGTCCGTTCCCCTGTGCTGGTGTAAACTCTGCCTAAGTGGAGCTGTGTTACTGTAGTTTTCTCTTCTCTGCTGCTGCTGCTCTTTCATCCTGCTCACCACACAGACTCGTGGTGAGCCTGGCCCGTCATAAAACACCCCAGGGCTCTGCCCACTATTGTTCGTGCGGTGAGAACATCGATGTCGTGGTGGTTTTTGTCTTTGGGCGGACACACATAACAAACCAGGGTGGACGGACCGGCCTGTGTGGGTGTGATTGACCGCAGCTCGGGCCCAGAGAGCCCAGAGTGGAGCTGCAGCTGCTGTATATAGAGTCGGATCAAATGCAGTCGTCAAGCGTGAGAAAAAAAAACATATATGGCACTCGAGGTTTTCGAGAAGCCGATGCTACGGTTAGCTTTGTCCTCCTTGTCTAATTTGAAGGTTCTAGCCGCAGCAGCACGAGTTCACCATGTCTCTGTATGACGTCTCGTATGCCGCCGCCGCTGTGGGCCTGCGGGGGGAGGCGAAAGCCGAAATGCAGAGCATCGAGGCAGAGGGTGAGCACAAACGGCAGCCAGTAGTGGCTGTTGGGAAGGTTGGACGCCCGGTGTCGCACCAGGAGAAGAAAATCCATCTGCGGGCCGGTTTGCAGCCTCGTGTTCACCTGGTCCACCTGACCGTCACTGAAGGCCGGCTTCCTCCTCCAGAAGTGCAGCAGCCGCGGTTCGTCGCAGCAGACGTTAATGACAAAGTGTCCACACTCTACAGAATCCTCCACAACCCTAAAATGCAGGCTGTTTTGATTGCCCGGCATCGCCATGGTGACAGAACCTTAGGACTGTCAGGGGCTGAGGAGGAAAGAGACGAAAAAAGACAAGTCTGTGACCTTCTTCACATGATGGACTTTTTTTCCTCTTTTTTTCAATAGTAAGAAATGAAGCTCCTATTAGGTACAGTGTAGTGTTAGCTCGTTATTTCTTACCTGCGTTGGTGGGTGAAGAAAAGGCAGCAGAGTTGAAGGTACGCCTGGTGGTCATCAGCATCTGGCTGCTGTCCAGCTGCGCCGGGGCATTTGTCCGGAAGACGTGGAAGAAAACACAGGTGGAATAAATAAGACTCAGGCCACTGTGTGTTTTATTCGTTGCCCTGTTACTTTACATAATATCCTGCGGGGAAATCTTTATCAAACCTGGGATAGCTTCACTTCTCAGACACATTTACATAGAAGTTCAGGGCCAGAGAATATGGCACTACTGATGTTTTTTTTTTTGTTTTTTTGTTTTTGCCCAGGGTTTGTTGAGGTACTTCTCATGTTGTGTTTTGAAAAGTTTGAAAAATGTAATATATTCCTGTAACTGAGAAGAAATAGAAATAATGTTATAAATAATTATTTAAAAACACTATAAATAATAATTATACTGATTATATTTATAAATTAAAATGATCAAAGGTTAGCCATAAATTGGGAGACTTTTTCGTACATATATATCCTCAAGTTAAAGATGCCAACATTTCGCATTTCGTTTTTGAAAATCTACACTCCCCTATTTAGTAGAACAAGATAAAGGAAAAAGTAAAAATATAATTAGAAGTTAGCCAGGAAATAGCCACAAGTTAGCCAAACATGCTAACATTTGATTTCCAAAATATAACAAAACATATTCTATATAGGTAACACATTCCCATATTCAGCCTTCAAAAAATAATGAAATCTCGCTCCTCTTTCCCCTTAGCGTAGTTAGACTAATTTGCTAATAAGTTTTACAATAATTTTCAAATGTTAGCAAAAAAAAAAATAGCGTTAGTAATAATGGTTAGCACAAGACGAAGTGCTGTAAAGTTTGAAAATAACTTGAAGAGGCTTAAATATTATAACAAGTGTGTGAACTGTGTTGTAACATATAAATCCCTTCATACATAAACATGTGTTCGTCTTGTAGGGACTGAAGAAGAAAGTTCCCAGAATAAACCGGCAGCTTTAATCTCCTTCCCTCTGGTATTTTGTTTGTGTGTTCTGAAGATCTCGGCCCAACGCCGATACTCCTCGGTATTTACATATTTGACTGAAAGAACACGCGTTTACGTCTCGTGTGTTCCTCTTAACATTCAGGTGTGTTTGTTTTCTGAGCCGCAGCATCAAAGACACACTGTCCAAACCCGGCCTCTGGCTTCACGTAAAATGATATTTGACAATTTCTTTGTTGCGCTTTGATCGCTTTAGCTCACATGGCTAACAGCGGCGCTGTTAGAATACGGCAGCGCTCATGCTCATACATATTTAATCCGTCAAAAAAAAAAAAAAAAAAATCCTCAGTTCCGTGCTGCTGCGCAGGACTCTGCCTCACAGTTATTGTGTTTCCAGAGCCCAGATGTGTTTGATCACAGTTGTGTTAACAGTAAAGAGAAAAAAAACAACAACTATTGGCCCACATGTAAAAGCTGCAGGAAACCAGAGAAAATAATTAGGTTTTGTGTTTGTAGAAGCCACGTCAACGGCTAACATCCAACATGTACCTGGAGTTTATGGAAACGCTAACATGCTAATGTGTGTCCCAGCGAACACAGCCCGGGGGACACCTGGCGTCTCCTCATATGGACAGGTGCATAAGGACTGTGCAAATGTGTTTTGCATAGCATGTAAAGTGGGAGCTGTTAACTGACAGGTCAATAAACAGTCCATGATTGCACTGACAACATGAGATCACACTTAAAAAAAAAAAAAGGGTGATGACGCGGCATGCTGCGTTCACGGTCACCTGAGCGGGGAAACGTGACGAGGTCATTCAGTGAAAAAAGGAAGGAAAAACAAACTGGTCATGAATGTTGATCTTTCCTGGTTCCATTATAGAACTTTTTTTTTCAGTTTCCTATTAATTTAGAATCTCATTAATTGTTTAAATTTGATTCGACTCAAATAAGATGGATATATATATCAGCTAAAAATGAACCGTTTTATTGACGAGGATCATGTTACTTTCATTTAATCAAAAAGCCAAAAGTCATAATTGGCTGTAAAAAACAAACACACACTGAGTCATAATTGGCTGTAAAAAACAAACAAAAAAAAAACACGAGATAAGGAACAAAGATGAAAGAATAACACTGATTGTATGGAGCAGCTTATATTCCAGAGAAACCCTACCATTGTTCCCGGGGCCCTCCGTACTACAGCACATTTATAGATGAAAGTTTTCTTTTTCTGCCGGCAGTAATTGAAATGACGGCAGAGATTGTGTCTCTCTCCGTCTCCATCTCTCTTTTTTTAACCACAGCGATCTTTTCATCCTGTGCCAACCTTCTCCATCAGACCTCCTCTCACTTATCTTTGATGAATGTACCCTGTCCTTCTCATCTTCATCCCTCTCATCTCCTCCCGGGGGTTTTGTTCCTGCTCTGTTTTTTGTTGTCTTTGAGCTTCTGTCTGTGCCATTAACCTTCATCTTGGAAACGTGGTGGAGCTTCCTTTATTATTTCGCTCAAAAACTCTTGACACTGCATCACCCTCTCTCCACCCATGGTGTCTTTGTACGCCCACTCACCCCCCTCTCACCCCGGCCCTGTCGTCTCTGCCTCTCATCTCTCCCGCTGTGTGAACTTTGGACTGACAGGCTCCTGTTGGGCTGCGAGGAGACAGAGAGCAGCTCTAATTTGTTCCAAGGTGAAGACGGTTCACCGGGGGCTGGGGTTCATCATCATCATCATCATCATCATCATCATCGCGCAGCTCCATCTCAGTGTGGAGGCTTCACCCTAACTCTGGCTCTCGCTCATTTCTTGAGGAAACATGTTGAGCTGCTGCTCGCTGTTTATTGAAGCTAAAATATCTGTGGACGGAATTCTTCAGACTCTGGACTGTATTGACGGACTGGCCTTTTTATTAATTTAGCTCATTTTGACTGGCCTTGTAGTTTAAACTTCCATTTCATTATGTGAGTTTACTAGTTTTATTAGCTCCGATATAGCAAATACAGTAGCCCACGGTCGAATGCAAATTTTTTTATAAAAATAAGTCTATACTTAACTCAAACGGCCACAATGTACCTTATATATACTTTACCCTAAAATGGTAAATGTATAAAATAAAATAAAAATTTCCAGAAGATAACACAAGCTAGTTGTTAGCCAAACTGAAGAGCCACAACATGGCTAGAAATTTGCCAAATGATAAATAATGAGCCAAGAAACGGCCAAATTCTAGCCTAAAATAGCAAAATTAGCAAATAGAGAAATAAGCCAAGGTAGAACTGCCTCCTACCCCCAACATAACCTTCGTATCTCCTTCATGCCCCCCTCCCCCCTTTGTTAGCTGTCAGCTGCACAGTGTATATAAACCTGCCACATCTGTGTAAAGAACTCTGTGGAACGTTACGCTGTTCTGTCTCCACAGCTTTGAGTGAATTATTGTTGCTGCAGTTATTAAATCGAGTTTCTTCACTCGGCGTTTTTTTGGCGTCTTTAAAAGTGACCTCCAGGTTTTTCCGGTTGTCAGCGACTGCTCTCCGTTGTTGTGTCATGTAATTACTGTAATGGTAGCAGGAAGGTCAGGCTAATTTATTAGCGTGTCATTACAAGGGCCAGGGTTATGTTTGATTTTAATTCATGGAGTCATAGACAATGTTGTAGTTTAGGCTTTATTCATATTGTGTGAAATATTTAAAACTGCTGGTATTTTTGTTTTCTCTTCGTCTTTTGTTTTGGGAAAAAAAAACATATTTTTTTGGATAAAGTGCTTCTTTATTTCTGTGCTAAGCCAAAGGCAGCAGGGCTGTTAAGAGACATCTGAGGATCTCTCACAGCACTCGGCTCATTTAAAAAATAAAAATGTTTTATGGAAAAATAAAAATATTTAGAATTCAAATCTTTGCTAATAGTTATATGCTTGGATGTCTACTAAAAACAAAATCCAAAATGCTGAAAAATGCTACAAGCTACCCATAGTTAGTCAAAGCAATGTTAAGAAAAAAGAAGTCAAACTGCTATTGAGAAACAGATTTATATGTTTGTGTGGACAGATACAAAGAAATACAAAAACAGAAGTGGCTAGCTGGTAACTAGAGAAGCTAACATTTAGCCAAATAGCTAAGAGATAGCAAATATTTTTGAGTTTTTTTCCCCTCAATGGTTAGCTAAATCACAGTAATTGAAGCATCTGTTGGATAAACAGCCTCTCTAGATTTATTCACTGCAGTGGCAGGTTTGCTGTCAGAACAATTCCTGATTATTGTTGACCTGACCTGGGTCAATACAAGGTCAACACAGTGCTCTCTCTCTCTCTCTCTCTCTCTCTCTCATCAATACATGGTTGAGATTTGAACATATACCCCTGACGTCAGGTGGTGGTGGTGGTGCGTGTATGTTCTACTCTGTAGAATCTACGACGTGCACCGTAACCCACTGTTTTGGTGTTCCTCCTCCTGGTAGTAAAAATTCCATCTGTGTGTTTCAGAGTACGAAGACGGCAGCCTGTCGTCATGGGTGAACAAGGAGCGTTTCCAAGGGTACCTGCAGATCGATGGCTTCACGCTCTACGAGCTGGGAGATACAGGTGGAGTAGGCAGCACATTTGTCAGACACACTCCAATATCTCACCCCGTGACAGAGTTCATTCTTCTTTTCATGTTGAAGTTCATTTTTGTTTAATGCTAGCTGCACTTAACATGCAGAGTTTAAATGACTTGTTTAGAAATACATGCAGTAGTATGTGCCCAAAATAGGGCTGGGGGGCCAAATGTAGTACATGGACAGGATTGATACGGTTTATTATTATTATTCATGACTCTTTCTTCACCTACTGTTAGCAAAGAGGCTAACTTTAAGCCACATGTCTTTAAGATAAATGAAAATATATATGTAAATATACTAAGACATTTTTGCAAAACTATGTTGAAATAGGATTCGATCAGTTTTCAACTGATATGGACATGTAATTGTGCAGTCAATGACGCCGGCTGACGGTGTTCATTTCCTTTTATAAATACCCCGTTACTCTGTGTGTTCAGTTGCTGCCGTCCCGTAGGAAATTGAACCTCAGAGCTGAAATACAAACTGTCTCTTCACCAGCAGTAAACTGATGCTGCGTGCAGGGACAGCTCATCGCCCCAATGTTACAGACTGTGTTTTTTTTTTTTTTTTTTACTACTTAATTTGTCGTTTATGGACATCATTGACGCTCCACCGACGGGATATCGCTCACATTTGTTACCCACGTACGCTGAGTTCCAAACCCATTTGTGCCCAAATTTGCAACTCGCCACGAGTCACTTTGCATGCAAATTAGTCACTGAAGCATCTTAATTAAGTCTGACTGATTAAAAGCAGCGTGCTTTACGGCTTCACTCTGTTGAAGGAACTTGGTGGAGATTTTTATCAAGATGAATATATGAGAGCAGCAGCAGCACGAGTCCGGACTCTACAAGAATTTCAATCAAAGCATCAGGTTTCATCCACAGGGGGGACATTGATGCTGTAAAAGCCTGGTCTCAAACACATTGTAAAGTCACACTGACACAGAACCTGATACAATCTCTAAATAGAAGTGGTGTTGGAGTAAAGGGTTTACGGCAAATTGGAGAATTTTGTCATCTTTGATGTGCACACGCTGTTCTACAGGGAGTGAATGGTACAGTATCTCTGATACAGTGTGAACCAGAGCCTGACTCTACAGTCCAACTGAGGCTGGATGTACAGGAGACATCACAGCAACACAAAACATTAGTAATAAAACCACAAGACTCCTTTAAATGTTCACAGACAAACATTAAAATACTTCACATTTGAAGTTTAACCTGTGTTAAATATTGGTTTTTGATTGGTTATAACGAAGCCTTAGTTGATTACATTAACTTCTCGCACTTTTTTTTGGTCGTTCAAAATTCAAAAATAAGGTAAAAATAGATGTTAAAAATAGTTTAATAGTTTTTCCAACAAATATTAATGATGGATTCATTATGGAGCAGAAAACGGAATAATATCTGTCTTTTCTCCTTTTAGTTTTCACTTCTTGACAAGGCAATAAAAACACATTTTCTGTATGAATATCTCAGCCTAAGTGAAGTTTTATAACGAGCGCATTAAACAGAATTATAGTCTTTGGTCATAAAGTGCTTTAAAATTTGTATAATAAACTTGTCAGTGCAGAACGTAAGTAATGTGGTCGTTAATATGATGTCTTCTCTTTCTGGTTTTTTAAATTTTTTACACCGCACTCAATCATGACGGCTCTTTCTCTATAAGTGACCGCGTACATAAAGAAGGGGGAAAAAAAACCCAAATGGTCCAAGAATAGAACCCAGGGGCACACCAGAATATTTAATTAGTGCTTTGACACTGTTAAAACACAAGGCTAACGAAGGCCACCGACAGTGTTGGCCTGTTGTGGTATTTACTAAAGTTATACTTAAGTTTAAGGTTTTATTTTTAAAACCACATACATCGAAATGTTTGTGTCTTGAGGAAAAAGGTCACGCCTGGCGGTTTGGAATTGATCTGTATAGTTCCTCTAACTTTATAGAGTATTTTTCTAGAGTTGAGTATTCAGAATATTTGTTTGTGTTTTGTGAACACGGAGCTCATCCAACACCTGATTTAGAAATAATCAAACGTCAAACCACTGGTTTGGACCAGGATTATTGACATCAGGAAACGAGTCTGTGATGGCATTTAATTTGCTTTGGTGATGATAATGACCACAGATGAACATAGATGGGGGCGGAGCGGCATAACATCTGGCAGTCTATAACGTAAAGTAACTAACTCTGACAGGGAGGATTTTTCATGTCATTAGGAGTTTGCAAGTGAAAAAGATTTTAAAATTCAACCATTTACGCTGACATCTGTATGGTCAACAAAAAGCTCCGTTTGCTGAAATCAATCAGCATCCTGCTGTCCTCATTATCTCCACTCTGTTTCACTCTGTTTCATTGTATAACTCCGCAATTAATTCATCCGTTAATGAAAAGCCATAAAGAGTCTTAGTTTTTATACCAGCCTGCGTCTGATTGTGCTGAAAATACAAATAGATTTGACTCCGTACGGTAACTCTGCAAATAATGAATATGAGTTTCCTGAACAACAATGTTCCGGGACTCTATTCAACCGACTCGACGCAGCGGAAAAGTACAGCGCTAGAAGTGCACTTTCCAACGGGTTTCATTCTCATTGTGGGCACTAAAGAGATAATATTCACAAAGGAAAACCGTAAGTAAGCACTTTTCTTTTCACTGCGTTCTCAATAAGTGAAGCAGGAGCGCAGCCAGAGATGTTCTGGGGACGGCGCAGGTAAATATACGACATAATAGAGGCCATGCATCCTGATTTTTATTCACAATTGCTGCAGTGACAGTTGTATATGTATGTAGGGGAATATTTTTGCCCTCTTAATGCCCAGCTGTAAAGCTCTACTGTTTTATACCCCCAACTCATCACTAGGGGGCAGACTGGCACTCTGAGAGCGCTGCAGAGAGTTTCATATTCACATTATGCAAATCTGAAAAAAAATCCAAACATTAAATGACATTTGAAGTTCTGCAGGTTCCATTTCCCCCCCCACACACTGTGAGTAGATCCATTTTTCATATCGCGGCTCAAAGGTTTCATACTGAAATAACTCCACTGCCCAGAAATGACCACTTGTTTCCTGTTCAACCAAAGTTTAAAAAGCCTGAGCAGCTTTTATGTAAGAAAGAAGGGAGAGAAAAAAAAAACCCCATATAAATATATGTATATATAAAGACCACTGAGTTCCTCTCTCCCTCCTTTCTTCTCCCCCCGTCGAGGCTCCTCCGCAGCCTCTTCTCTGCCTGCTATTGTCTCCTCAGTGATTGTGATTTGTGCTCCCTGTCTCCCATTGCAGGAAAATTGGTGGCGATTGCTGTCATTGATGAGAAGGACCCCACAGAGGAGAGCGGCAGGTACGGAGAAACACGGTGTAGATTACTGAGAAACACCCCCCCACCACACTGGTGCTCTAAAGGGCACGCTGGTTTTGGTGTAAGAGATAAGATGTGCCCCCGTTGTCAACCTGCAGGCAGCGGCTAAAAAAAAAAAAAAAAGTCTTGAGTCCTGAGTCATGTGGTTCTACAGCGTCTTCTCCTTCTGCTTCTAGGTTAAAGGCCATGATTCAGAAGGTGTCCAAGGACCACAGGGAGCAGTTTAACAGGTAAGGCTCCAACAAGTGGAAAGGTCAGAGGTGAAATTACTCTGGAGTGCCATGGTTACTGGGGGGGGGGGGGGGGGGGCGCTGTCTCGGCACGTCTGTTTGTCGAGATGGAGTTTAAAAAGGTAACAATGAGAAAAAAAAAAACAAAAAACATCCAGCTTCCAAATACGGGCGTCTTTGATTTCCTTCAGTCACCGTCTCCGATCGGCTCGTGTTAAAATGTTAATGTTCACTCTCCTCCTGCCGTAACTGCCAACCATGAGATGTTTATGTCTCACAGTGACTCGTTCAACCTTTCATATCACAGAAGAAGAAGAAGAAGAAGTCGATGTGTAGAAGGCATTCACCCCAAACGCAGGAAGA